GCCTTCAATCACACTTGAACACAAACATACACATTTTGTTTTTTGTAAAAAAAAAAAAGGTCATTTTCATTCTGCTGTAAAGTTACCTCCCAATACCTTTTCTATAAATGCTTTCATGGTTCTTTTTTCGGATGAGCTCTTCACTATGGTACCTAGAATATAAGCACAGTACTAGATTGGCAACAAGGTCTCATCAATGTACAGTTGAGTTGGCTAGATGTAGCCATAAGTGCTATGCTAAATGTTTCTTTTCTTGCACTTCTTGCTTGTGGAACTCTCTTTCGGCTTTATGCTTTCCAGCCAACTTTAATCTTCAAAATCTTAAATGCAATGTCAATTGCTATATACTGTCCTCCTGATAACTCTTCTTCTGTACTAGCTCCTTAGTGGAGTTTCCGTTTTCTAATTCTTCCACACCCAGTAATCCCTTGTATCTTAAGGGCTTAGAGTGACCTTGTGCTTAGAGTGACTTTGATTTAGAAAAAAAAAAACATTATGGAGATAAGAATATATTTCTTGGTTGGCTTTCTTTATTCTTTTCTTCCCATCAAACAATAAAAGTAAATAAAGAAAAGTTTCTTAATTCCATCAAATTTTTCACATTAAGAAAAAGTGTTTTTTATTTTTATTTTACATTATGTGAAAATACATGGTCAAGTGCCATTTCCTGTGGCTCTTAAGTTAAGAGTCTACTGTTGCCACCAATTATGGTAAATAGTTCTGATTTTTTTTTTTTTTGACTCTTAACGATACAAATCGAAAACAAAAATATTCATTATTTATTTATTTAAGCACTTAAAGACAAAGATTTTTCAATAAATAAATTCTAGCATTAAATTAAAAATAAATTACTTTGGTAATCTAGATTTCTTTGTTGCTGTGAAATTTTTAAAAAATACTGTGTTAGAAAATATATGTGTCTATATTTCTGAATTATGTACACTATTTACATTATTCGGACTATCGTCCTCATCTTTGTCGCCTTATTTATTACAATGTTTCGTTTTAGAACAGCCTACCCCATGAGCAAAATAAAGTGTTCAGTTCGACATTCCAATAACCTGAAGAAGGCTGAAGCATACAACAGCCGAAACGTTGTAATAAATATGGTGACAAAGATTAGGACAATAGTCCGAATAATGTAAATAGTGTAAAAAATATATGATTTAAAAAATTCCAATATTTAATGTTAATCACTTATGATTTGTACATAATCATAAAACAAATAAAAATGACAGCCATAATCTCTTCTGTCTGTACGTAAGACCATTAGCTTATTCTATGTTGGATCAGAGTGTACTCCCTGACTGATTATATTGGCTCTTGGAAGCTGGAATCAGTAAGTCTTTGAAATTTACATAATATTAAGTAGGGAAGAATTTGTAAAAGTGAGAGGGGGTGAGGAAGGGGAGGGGAAAGGAAACATGAAGGAGTAAAAGTAAGAGTTGAGAGTAAGAGAAAAACAATAACAAAACCAGGAGAAAGGACAAATATATATGTGTGTATGTCTGTAAAATTGGATGAGAATCCAACAGAATTGGGGATACACACACACAGGGTGCAATGGATAAATGGATAAATTATACAAAAATGAAAATAACTGACATCTCATTTTAAGGTATTTTTTGTATAATTTGGTAAATATATCTTGAAATACTAAAGTGTAAATTTATTCAATAAAATCACCTTTGGCTTCAACCATGGCCTCCAGATGACTTCAGAATCATCTGCAACTCTTCTGGACGGTCTCCTTGTTTAAGTTGGTGAATGCTGCCATAATCCTTGCCTTCAGTTCATCTTTGGTGATACAAAGTTTTGATGGTTTCTTGCTCAACTGCGCCCCATGCATAATAATCAAGGGGGTTGCAGTCTGGGGAGTTAGGTGGCCAGATGTAAGGGGTGATGTGGTTGCAGAAATTGCCCAACAGCCATGACTAGGTTCTCCTGCTTGTGTGGCATGTAGCAAAGTCCTGTTACCAGATATTTTGTCTTCCACCAGCCACCCTCTTGACCCAGGGCAGCATTACCTTGTCAAGGCACTTGATGTAGGCCTCCATGTTGAGTCTGAGGCCCTCACCAACAAATTCAGTAGTTCTTTTCTTATCAGAACAATCAAAGTGAGTTTTCTGAGCAGCTGTACCTTTATAATCACCATTAGACTCATCCAACTCTTTCTGAATCCTCTGCACTGTCCTCACATTGTCATGCTGTTTCCAAATTTATAGTGGAGTGAACTGCATCATGTCCCTTTTTTTCTCATAGATGGTGCCCAACTGACCCTATTATACTATGTAGTCGTCAAAATCAAAAACAAACAACGTGCATGTCCCAAATTAAAAATGTAAAATGCCAACAATTTATCCATCATACCCTCTGTATGTGTGTATATATATATATATATATATATATATATATATAGTTAGTTTATGAAAAACTAGGTAATCCATATGGGTAAACCTAAGAAGGATAAAATCCAGAGAGCTCAATGTAAATCCAGAGCAAATAATTTAAATAAAAACAGACCATTTTAAGGTTCCATGTAATAAATTATCTCACCACAGCCCTTATAAAGGACTGCGGATCATCAGACTTTACTTCCAAACAAAAAATGAAAAGAAAATTTACACATTTTTGATGGGCCGTATTAAACATATGTAAATTAACAAAGTGAGGAAGTGAGGGGGGAGAGAGAAGACATGAGTAAGTTAGCAGATATTGACACATTTAAACTGTTTAAATGTGTCAATATCTGTTATTTTTCAGGGAACTAGGTCCCTCATGTCCAGTAGTTGTTATTGCTCTATCTAATATTGATATCGATAGAAAAAGAGAAAATGAGAGATAGATGGAGGGAGAAGAAAAGGATGAAGATAATAGACAGACAGACAGACAGTCTTACTGGATAAATATCATGTGATAATGACTGAAAAATTAAAAGGCATTCCTAATTTTTTTGTATATGAATGTAATTCCTGTTTGGATAACATTTAGATAAAAAAAGCTTGGAAGACTGACAAAGATTGGAATGGATAAGGATGAAAATGACAAAATACAAAGAGCAGGGGAAGGAAATAATTGATAATTCTAACTGTGAAACCCCATGGATTGTGTTACTAATTCTTTATTGTAGTGTAAAATAATTTAAAATTATTTATGGCCATAACATTATTGGTAAGAATAAGTGGAAGAGTCTAGAAATATATTGAATCTTAATCTGCAGCAAGAGGCACTAAAAATTTTTAAAAGTGAATTTTTTTAAAATCATGATAATAATTGAAAGAAATAAAAATATTTAAATTCTATCTGTCAGTATTTATAAAGCATAGCTTCATCTGGCACAAGGCTATTAAAATAGTGCATTCACTAGTAATGGTTGCCAGAATAAACTTGTTTACTAATTTGATAATGAAGGAGGAAAAGTAAGAGAAAAACAATAAGAAAAACAGGAGAAAGGACAAACATGTATGTATGTGTGTATGTCTGTAAAAATCTTTAAAGTTGGATGAGAATCCAACAGAATTGTGCATATATATATATATATATATATATATATATATATATATTAAAGATAACAAATCCGTTGGTATATAATCTAAGTGGATCCTAGTAATATAAAATATTAAAATAGATTCACAAAAAGAGCTCAATGTATTTATTATTAAAGAACAAATAATTAATTTACTTTTTTGACTGCTTTTTTGACTGCTTTTTTTTTAAACCTTTCACAGTTTAATATCTATTTCTATTTCTGACACAAACTCTGTTCACACAGGGTTTGATAACACTGACAACCGATATCTTTGTTTGCCAAAATAGGCTATTCCCCATACGAGGTGATTTTGGATTTTATTGTTTATTAATTTTATATATATATATATATATATATATATATATACTGATTTTACTGTCTGTTGTTATTTTTGAGGATACACTTAGCTGTTTTAAATTTTTTTGTAGTAGATAATTTGATTTTCTTTGTTTGGGTCAATTGGGGTAGCATATTTCTTTATGATATTTCTAAGTGAAGATTCATCTTGTTTGTAGTTGATGTGCATTTGGTTTTTGTAGAAAATATTTATGTTATTTTTGACTGTGTGTTCATTATGCACGTCAACTACAAACAAGATGAATATTCACTAAGAAATATCATAAAGAAATACGCTACTTTAATTGACTCAACAAAGAGAATCAAATTAATTATATATACACACACACACACACACACACATATATATATATATATATATATATATATATATATATATATATATATATATATATATATATTGCATAAAAATGAAACTCAATTGTAACCCATTTTTATGGCTATTTTGCTCCTCAGGATAAATTCCTGGATTTTGTCAACATTAAACGTTTGATAAAAAACTGAACCATTTTCATTTTTTTAGCAAACATGTTAGTATTGACAAGCTCCAGGGAATTTATCCTGAGGAGTAAAATGGCCATAAAAATGGGGTACAATTGAGTTTCATTTTGATGTAATTCATTTCTATGCTCTATAATAAATATATTGAGCTCTCTTTTGTGGATCAGTTTTAATATTTTATATTAATTTCACTTGGATTACTTACCCACGAATTTTACATATATATATATATAGATATATATATATATATATATAATTCTGGGATATCTATGAGTTAGACTGTTATCTTCATCCATTCTATAGCTACCATTTTGTTTCAGCTGATAATAAGGAATTCTAAATATCAGTGTCAAATATCTTGTAGGAATTTAGGAAGCCAAGATTGAGAATAAATTATATTCTATTTTCAATCATTTGCAGCATTGTTTCTTTGTTAGATATTGATCTTTCTGTTATCAAATTGTTATTTAAAATTATTAACATTTAATTACTAAATGATTTTTATTTCATAAATTTGAATTTAGCCTTTGAAATTTTGTAACTTTTACTTTGTTTGCTCCATTTTACTTAATCTTTTTGTTATTTTCTGTCACCGCTTTAAACTTTTTTTCACATGCTGTCATTTTATCTCACACATTTCTTTTTTCTTCCTTTTTTTTTTGTTTGGTCTCATTTTTTCTTTTCCTATCCTTTCATCTCTTTTTTTTTTCCTTGCTTTCTTTTCAGTTCCTTCTTTTTCTCTTGGTCTTTTCATTTCCCTTTTTTTTTTTTTGCTGTCTTTTCATATCCTTTTTTCTTTTGCTATATTTTTATCTCCTCCGTTTTTCCCTTTTTTTTTCTTATCTTTTTTTTTCTTTGGTCTCATCCATCTTTTCATCTCTTCTTTGTCTTTTTTTATTGTTGTCTTTTGGTCTCTTTTTTTTTATTGATGTCTTTTCATCTCTCTTTTTGTCTTCCATCTCTCTTTTTTTTGCTGCCTTTTCATTTCCTTTTTTCATTTTCTTTTGATTTCTTACCATCTTCTTCTCACTTCTATGTTTTTCTCTACATTTTCTCCCTTTTTCTATTTTTCTCCATTTTTATATTCTTTTTTCTCCTTTTATTTTTCTCTTTACCTTCTTCCCTTCCTTTTGTTCTATCTCTCTTTTCCTTACAGCTCTTTCTTGCTCCATCTATTTCTTTGCCTTCTTCAATTCTATCTGTCCCTCCTTACATCTACTTCTCTTTCTCTCTCTCCATTTCTTTCTTTGATTTTCTAAATAAGCCACAACTGTAATTACCACTACCGTTACTTCCATTGTCTCTTTTCTATTCTGATGAGACGCTTAAGGCTATATATTGTTTACCCATTATTCCCTATCCTCACACTAATTCCCTCACAGACCATTTCTTATTCCCTCCCCATATCCTAGACTCAAGTTGTCTTTCTCTTTTTAATCTTCGATCTTAAAGAGCTGGGAATAAAACAGAAGATAATCATTATATAAAATCTGTTGTCACTTTTTGTTTGTTTATTGGTTTTTCTATCATTACTGTTAGAACATGCAAAAATGGCCTCTACTGTGTTTGTGTGTTTACTTGAGTTAAGGAACTGCAGGTAATATCACTACTACTCGTACTGCTGCTGATGATATCCAAATTTTATTACTAAAATCTTTTAAAATTATTAAAAACATGCAGAAAATCTTCAAAAAGATAAATTTCTTAGGCATATATATAATTATATATTTGATCCATACATAAAAACAACCAAAAAAAAAACAGGGATATTTACTCAAACAGCCACTAAATATAATATTTCATTTTTCTGCATGTTTCACTTTGTTATATTTTTACTTCTGTTTGCCCATTTTGGCCTAATGGCAGCTGGATTAATAATAATAATAATAAATAATTTCTGTTGAGTTTATTTATATCTAACTTAGAGTGAAGCTCAACTGCTTTTTGTATCATTCATGTTTATAACTGCATCTTGTTAATACACATGACCAATGAAGGGAGATAATTCATATATCTCCAATTAGTTCCCTTGTGCTATAAAAAATGGTGAGCTTTACAAAGAAAGACATCAGCCATTTTGAATTTAAGATGGATGTCTTGGTGAAATACATTTTGTCGAAGAATATGATATACAATTGGATTGTTCTACTTAAGGAAGGAAAAATGTTTACATTTTTGCAAATATTTATGGAACTCTATCTGAAATAAACTACAGTTAATTTTCTAACATTTGCTAACACACCACATTAAGTGTAAACAAACACATGCTAAAAGAAAGATCAAAGTTGACAAAAATTCAAAAATCAAAACCAATTCTTATCTCTTAAGTTTTTCTTTGTTTCTTTTCTTTTAAACTGCAGTTTTTGGCAAGTGAGCTTAAGATCAACAATAATATCTTGCTTTTCAAGTTGAAAACAATTTTCAGACAATTTTATTCACTGATGATTTTGAGATTTTATTCACACACATGCACATCCATATATTATTTACATTCATCTTTGTTGTTATTATCCAAACATTTCAGCTATTTTGCCCTCTGGTTGTCTTCATGGGATCTGGCAATGCAGGTAACTTTCAGGGAATTTCAAACTGACTCCTTTATCTACAGGGATAGTGTTCTTGTTCTACTTGTACTGAACTTTTTTTAAGACCATTCCTACATCTAGATACATACATGCATACATACATATATATATATATATGGGACATGATGCAAGCTTTTGAGCTTTTACAAAAGAACTTTGTCATGCTTGCAAATACAAACATGACCCATGCGGATGAGTTATAAATCTAGGTAACAGTAAATTCTCACTCGACACATTCAAGTTATTCAATAAAGGACTAAGCTTTTTGCCCTAGTCCCCCAAGGTTTGATAAGGACACCTTGGAAAAGGACCTGAAATCTTTCTTTAGAAGAATACAGCTAAAAGCCCACTACAAAGACAATAACCACACACCTTCCATATTTGAAACATTAAAAGAGAAGGACTCTACATTCACCTCACAAAACATTGACATCACTATACAGACATTTGAAATGTCAGTAACAAATGACATAAAGAAAACAACAGTACGTAAGCTGCCACATAACAATATCACTGAAGGGGAATGGGTGGTTTTTGATACGCTGACACATAGAGATGACCTAATCATTACACAGGCCACATTGATCTGGAGAATCAAAGAATACCTTAAAGAGGCCAACAATCAGTTAGCCAACAAAAACACCTAGAAAAGCCTACCTACAGACCCTCCACCTGAATACCAAAAAAAAATTAACAACCTCACTAAACATGATACTTCAAAACAAACTAATTGACAAGGAAATATGCACAAAGCTTACACCGATAAACATCACACCTGCCCACTTCTATTTCCTCCCCAAAATACACAAAAACAATAACCCAATAACATCATTTAACTGCTATACAACCAAAATATCCAAATATATAGACCATTACATACAGCCCCTAGCTAAGGAAGTAAAATTCTACATCAGAGACACAACATACCTACTAAATAGAATTAATCATATACAAACAGTGTCAGAAAATGCTACTCTATGTAAGATCTCTTTATTCAAACACAGAACATATCAAAGGACTAACCGCCCTTAAAGAAGCCTTACTAAAAGAACAAAACAAGACTCCCCACAGAAGTAATCATAAAACTCGTGGAACATATTCTTACATTAAATACTTTCGATTTCAATGAAAAATACTATCTACAAGTAAGAGGATGTGCCATAGGCACCATTGCAGCTCCATCATATGCCACAATTTTCGTGAGAAAATTTGAGGAGACCCATATTTATCCCTTCATCTGTAATGACTGAATATTCTATGCATATTGATATTTTCTTCATGCACATGGGCAGTGAGGAAAATTCCTTATGACCCTAAACATGGTATACAACTTTGTTAAGTTTGACCATGAAAAATTAACAAGATCGGTAACATTTTTAGACATCCGCATCTACATCGATCTACAGTTTCTGGGAAATACTACATCTCAAACCAGACCTAAAAATTTTGTTTGAGGAACCTGGCCTTCTAGCATACGGTAGACCTAAAAACCTTAAGGAAATTATAGGTAGTAACCAAATTTCAGATGATAAGGTAATTCATAATAGACTAAAAATAAAAACAACAGGATTTTCCCAACCATGTAACAACAAAAAGAGCCTATGTTGTAATCACATTAGACATACCAATTCGTCCACTATCTCAGTCACTAAATGTATTTTCAAAATCTACCACAACTCTAACTGTAGAAGTCAAAACATAATTTATCTATTAGAATGCACACTATGCCAGAAACAATGTGTGGGAAAATCTGAATGGCCCTTTCACTACAGAATTAATAATTATTAGAATCGGATCAAGTTGGCTCCCTACGAAAGTTTATTACCTGTAGAACAACATTTCTCTCTACTAGAAAAACATATTTTAAAAGCCATGCAACATTCACTATAATTGAAAAAAATAGAAATAGACAGAAAAAATTACCATAGAAAAATTTTAGAAGAACATGAAGACAAATGGATTTTGTGCCTTAAAACACTTATCTCAGATAGAATTAATATATAACCCTATAAATCAAACCCTACCCACATTTTTCACACACACAATGCTTGCAGAGGTGTTGAGGTCTCACACACATACACACACTCATGCCTATATATAGACTTACACACATGATACACACTCCCAAAGAATTAAAAGATGACATACACTTAACACATACATCCCCCTCCCAGCAATCAATAAAACTGTCACAATGACCAAGGAGGGAATTCTTAATCATAAATCTTCTATCCTCTATCTTAAAAACAACTTGAAAAAGGCCATTTGACTAACACAAGGGCTGACCAAAATTAACGATAAAAACAAATGAAAGCTACAAAGTTCATTTTCTTCATCAACAGTCATTCATTCCTGTAATTCACTGCTACTAACAAGCAGAATTTTTTTTTCCTGATGATGGCCATGCTGGCCAAAACTAGTCGAGGAACCTAATTGAAATAATAAAACAAAAAAATATTAATATACAACCCAGTGTGTTTGAAAATTTTAATTTTTTTTTTATTGTTCAAAATATATATATATATATATATATATATATATATATATATATATATGTGTGTATTCTTTCCTTATTCGTGTTGTTTTTGCTATTTCTTTTTGTGCTAATGATATCTATTATTGTTATAAAATGCCAAATGCAAGACCAACAAAATCCACAAAAGAAAAATATAAAAATCCACAGAAAATAATAATCCCAACAACTCTTGTAAAATTAGGCACATAATCGCTGATCTGAAAGGAAAAAAGAAAAGAAAAGAAAAAGAAAAGAAAAAGAAAATGATGAAAAAGAGAAATAACCAACATCAAGACACACATATACTTCTTTGACTTCCCTTCATATATAATTATAGCGAGATAAATAATATATAAATATATAGTACACACACACACATATATATATATATATATATATATATATATATATATGAGAGAAAGAAATAAAAGTTTCAATAACTTATCTTCCAAATTGGAGTTGCTCAGAAAAAACACTGTCCTACTTGTCAGGGTAAAATAAATCTATTGAATTCATTGACAGATATATTTACTATTTATTCTAGATAAATATTTAATATTTAAAATAAATAATAAATGTGATATTTATCAATGAATTCAATAGATTTATCTTACTCTGACTCGTGTTGTTGCAAAACTTCAATTTGGAAAGTAGGTCATTTCAACTTTTATTTATCCATTAGCTATTGTTGGTCTACTTATTTTATAGTGAGCACTTTATTTGCAAAAATCTGCTAACCTTGAACATGTTAGCCTCCATTAATTTAATGATTAACTTGTTTAGTTAGGTGTGAACAGTCTTTGTTATATATATGATGATGGGTGTGACTCAATTTCAGGTAATGTCATTGGTTGATTGATGCTCAAGTATGGGCAGTGCAGATGTGATTTTTTGGTCCTGCTAATGACTTACACTCACTGTGTGTGTGTGTGTATATATATATATATATATATATATATATAGATATATATATAATTATTTATTTAAAAATATGATTCCAACTCGCGACATAAGAGGTCTCATGTTTCAAAACAAGAGCAATAACGATCTGTTTGACATCACTATGAGTCTTCTGATCTTGTTGGTCTTTTAATACTGTACAACTTAATGGCACATCGCGAAATTGATATTAAGGACATCGGGCTGTATAGAGATGATGGGCTCATGGTGGTGAGG